ACACACACACACACACACACACACACACACACACACACACACACACACCTGTCTAGAGAACCTGAAATAGCCAAGAGTAACGGGCTACCGAAGGTAAGACTAGAGACTCTTGTGATAGTGAAACAAGCATTGAAGCATGTGAGAACATTGCAAGATACACAACAAACCAGTGAACTAAAACGAGGTAAATCAGCCTGTACCAGTGCCAACCTGAAGGATGTTGCCAATGCCTAAGTGATCAAGACTTCGAGAAGACTATCTGTACTGTTTGTTCCGGTTGTTGCTTATAGCTTCATGTAAATATATTTTACCCCCCCCCAAAGCTTTCTTTATATTAGCAAAACTTTGAACCAAAATAATGCAGTAAACCTTTATGTTAATACATTAAGTCATTTAAAATACCATGATTCTACGTCTATAATATAAAATGTGTTCACATTTAGAAGAAAGCAAGAGAAATGGAATTTATAAAATAGGAAAGGACATTTAATCTTCCTGAAAAAAAAAATAAGGCACATTCGTAGAAGCATACACTGAAATGCCCTCAGTAATGTTCTATGTTGAGGACATGGGTGACCGGTGAGTCATGTTGCTTCTTTATGTTCCTTTTCCTTTTTCTCCCTTAAATGAACAATATTACTTAGTAAATTCACAATTCTTCTATAGCTGATGATCATGCCAGCTTTATGTAGCCAAAATGGAAAAAGAAAGACATGCTTAAAGCAAACAAACAAACAAACAAAAACCAACAACAACAAGAACAACAAAAGACAAATAAGAAGAAGAGCTCCTGCATGTCCCCGGCAGATGGCCTGCTCCTTTATGAAGCCATGGCTTCTATCCAGAGTGGTGCTTCCCTGGGCCTTTTTAAATTCTTCATTGGCAATTATGTGGACAGGGATCTGCTTATGCACATTGGGAGAGTAGGTCCAGCTGCCTTAAAATTCTAAAACTTCATACCATTTGATTTTGCAATAATTTTAACACACACACCTCTCAGTTTTAAAAGCCCAATGTTAGATTTTAAAGTACTTTCACATATGCTATTTTATATTAATCATAGTTCAGTACCTGCTTCTTATGTGACCTTAGCACACTTCCATAAAGCAGGCAGGGTAGGCATCACTACCTCCATGTAAATGAAGAAAAAAACCGAGGCACCCAGAAAGCGATCTCCTTTCGCGCCATGGTGTGAGAAACTAATGGCTTCATCTTCTGTCAGGACTCTATCCTGTTCCCTCCAGCACTTCACGGTGACTCCCTTTCTAACAGGGTTTAGAAGTTGAGCGTCCACGGAACGAAAGGCCAAGTGTTAGCCTAGCGTGTTTAACAAGCACCAACAACAATAACACACATCTAACTGCTTGCGGCAACTTAAACAGGGCTCAGTCAATGTCAGGTCGCAATGTAGCAATTAGTTCAGCTCAAAAGTCATAATAGATAAAACAAGCTGGTTGGCTTGAGCAGCTGTGAAGGCTGATGAATCTAGTTGGGAGCCTCAGTCAGTACGCTTGTCTCATACATAGGTTTCCTTAGTCCCAAGTAAGACATAAGTTGATCTTCTGGGTGAGCTAAGTAATGAATTAGGCTCACATTGGTTTAATGAAGTAGGACTTTGTTTCTTTCTACCAACAAAATTAACAGAAGAACCATATTTATTCTGCAATGGCAGCAGATTAAACACTTCAGAAATAATGTGGCAATTTACCAGAAGAGGCCTTAGCTGGGTGCTATCTGAAATCATGAAATTAAGTGGGAAAACATTCCCATGGAAATGGTTTATATGTTTTAGAAAAATAAATCCAATTTTAGATAAATGGCTCTCCTCACAAAGCACCTTAGACCTGTGACATTACATTCTCTGGCCAACAGAGCCTTTGCAGACATGTACCATTTTCTGTGTGTCATGGCCTCCACTCACATCTACCCTTTGCACACTGTTAGGAGGAGACAAGTTAGCAGAGGGTGAGCAAGGTTAAGAGCAGCTCCCTGTCATTGTCAGCAGGTAAAAGTAACAGGATTATAGCCAAGATGTGATGATTTCTAAGCTTTTTTTTTAAATATATATATATATATATTTAAATATATATATATAATATATAAATATATATATACTACTCTTCTCAAAAATTATCAAAGTACATGCTCTTTTTATAAACAAGAATGAAAAAAAGCTCCTCTCACGGCATTCTACATCAATGCAGGAGCTGCAGAGCTGACATGAAGAGCCCTGAAGAACGAGAACAGGACTGTCTGAACATGTAGCAGCACACAAGGAGACAGAAGCGGGATGTGCCTGTGGCCAGTGGGTCCATCACATTGGTGTGCTTACATTAATGCCCGGAATGTTTTTCCCCTCAGCTATACAAGACCCCATTTTCACCATCTCAGCTACTCACTTGCCCAATCGTCAGTGAGCACCTGCCATATGACCAACTCTGCTAATGGCAACAAGAGTTCAGGGGTGACCAAGGCAGACAGAAGTTCCAGGCCTGGTAAAATCCACACAAAGCTCCATGGGAGAATGAGGTAGTAGAAAGGGAGCTTGAAATAGAAGGCTTTGCTTTAATCCTGGCCAGGTGGCCTTAAGCAAATTATTTGAATCTCTCAGAATCTCAGTTCCCTGGCTTCTAACTGGTGTATAATATCTGTTTTTATTATATCATCTTTTATTAGACAAAATGCTAGTATATATGAGTTTATACATGAAAAAGAAACCTTGCTGGTTCTTTAGTCTTGGAGAAACTGAGGTAGTTGAAGAGACATAAAAGTTTTATTCTTATTATTAAACCCTTCAAAATACTTCATTCCATATTTTCCATGATCTAAGCTTTCGTAGTTTAATGTTAACCATGTGTAAGACTTGCTGGGTCACCATGAGGTCACTCTTCCACACCTAGCCACCAATTTCAAAGTCTGTGTTACTGTCTTAAGATGCCACAATTATGTATGCTTCCCCTGATTATGGGAGGGAGTCGGATTTAAATTATATCTTACTGATTGTTTAATTTGAACACTTATAGAAATGCTATTTCTTGACTAGTTCTTTAGAAACAAATCCATTGCAATTATTATTCAAATCACTTAATAATTGTCCTTCCTACTTTCGTCCATGGTAATCTTTTATTGGGAAAGAAAAATAGGAGCTGGGTAGGTGTAGGTGGGTGTGTCATAAGGCCATAGAAAAGACTGCTTCCCAGCACCAAACTTCATGTTATTAATTAAAGCAAAGAAAGCAATGAAATAGTTCCTTTTCCTTGCCGTTTCCTTTCTACCTGAACCCAGGTGTGAATGTTGGGAAAGGAGAGTCCAACCTTAATTTTATCAATCTCCCAAATTCTGTTTCCTTGACACTATGAAAACCAGGACAAGACTGGCACTGAACAGAAGTGAAGATAGCAATTAGCAAAGTCATGGCTCCTCAGGAAAGTTGCACTGACTGACTGCAAGCAGCACTCCAGATCACCACTGTTCTTTGCTCTGTCTCTCGACTGCCTCAGACTTTTGCAAAAGACCCACGGATGCAGTACCATCCACAGAACATGGACATGGCTCCTGCAATGCTGGATACACGGGTTTAAAGTAGCAGATGTAGAAAAAGTTGTGTACAAGGAGCCACCAAAACTATAATTTAAAACATAAGTAGTATCTCCAAAACCACTCATTTTCTGAGTCCTTTCTTCATGTTTCCAGCCCTTCCCTTTTTCTATCATCAAAGGGAGGTCACGAAAGACCGGAAGAGCAAAGATGGGTACTCACTTCATCTCCAGGATCTCCTCCAGCTGTTTCCTCCTCTCAATCCGGAGGTTGGCCAGGTGTGCTTCCTTTTCAGCAAGAGATTGCTGGGTGGAGGCGAGGCGTGCCTTGGTGGCGTCCAGCTCCTGCCGGGTCTTCTCCAAGGCATTCATCAGCTCCTCTATCTGAAAGGGACATGGACATTCACATGTCAGTTCTTGTTCACTCATACCCAAGAAACACAGAGGGCCAACGGGTCTTCTAGAGCTACCCAAAAAGGAGCCCCTTTGTTCTCTGTCTCTGATGAAAAACAAAGCTTTCAAACACAAGCAATCCCCAACTCCCCCAAGCTCTACTCAATTGGACTGACCAATGATCTTTATAGAGACTGTTTAACAATTTTTTTAGAAAGGGATGCTTGACCCAGCTTCAACCTATGGTTCATAATCTCTGGCACCCTCCTCCAAGCTGGAGGAAGGTAGGACTCACAATCACTTGTGTGTAGGCCCCAGAGTGTTTGTACAGAAAGCTAATCAAGTGTTTCAGATTCATTCATGTTTTAAGCTATCAAGGCCTTGTTTGGTCAAAGGTATTTGATGTCCACAGAGCCTCAGAAGCCCTTGTCACCTCACTTTCCTGACTTACAATCAGGAAGCAGGGTTTGGCCAAAGGCAAATAGAAATACAGCCACAAAAGGTTCAAGTTTGGTTTGCCCATAAAGCCTGAGAGGGTTCCAAACTTGAAGTAAATGACATGCAACTTTTATAGGGTGCTAATACACCATAGAAATAAGCCAGACTATCAAATATCTAGGGTTTTCAGCCAGGTCCCCCAGAATTGGACCAAGGAGCTCTGAGACAAGGGCTAACTCTCTTCAAATCACTGGGAGCTTTAAAATCCAACACACAACAAAGAGGACTGCTGTTTATGATCATGTTCCAGAGACTTCCATGAAGAAGGCTGGTGAAATGTCATTCCCTGTACAGACACGGTCTCCATCCACCCTGCTCATTCAAAACCAGGCTCCAGGAAGTTTCTAGATTCCAGCGCTGATGTATGGATTTCTAAGACTCAATTTCCAGCTGAACTTGGCAGCCTGGGCTCATCCATCAGTAAAGTCAACAGAAAACCCTTCACAGCGTGTCAATGACATGTTAGGTCCCAATTCATAAAGACTTTCTACACAATTTCTACAGTTTTACATGGACTTCATTCAGAATAAGCACTAAAGTTCATGTCCAAGGTAAATTACATGCTTTTAAGGTTCAGAACACCCTCCATTTTGCCCTGATAAAAAGGGAAAACTTAATGATCTTACAAACCAGAGCTAAAACTAAAATTTTAAAAGCACAAAATATAAAGAATAATCTACAAAATAACACAGAATCACATATGTTTACCTATAGACTAGTATTTACAAATGGATAAAAATCTAAAAAGCAATTAAGTTTTTTCAGTTTCACGTGAAGATTAACAAATATGACTAGGAGCCTTTCTGAAAAGCATCACACCAAAGTAGCCTATTCCTTTATAGATTTATAACTCTATAGCAGTATTTCAAAAAGCTACCACAGGTCGGAGAGATGGCTAGGCGGTCCACAAGACGCACTGCTCCTGCTGAGGGCCACAGTTGGTTTTCAGCATCCAGTTCAGGCAGCTTTCTATGGCTGCCCGTTTCTACAGCTCCGGGAGATACAAAACCTCTAGCCTCCATCAGCACATACCGACATGCACATATTTAATTAAAATAAAGTAAAGCTTTTTTAGAACTGTCACAATACAGTCATTCCAAAGACCAATTCAGAGACTGCCTGACTTCTCCAAGTCATATAATCTGTGTCCTCTAGACTCCACTTTCTGTTACTAATGTTCGTTACTTCAAATACACTATTTATTCTAAGGGAGACAGATATCTCTGGGTTTCTTATTAATTGAAGCTGAACTGTCTGAATCTGTAGACCCAAGAAATAGCAACTAGGTTTAGAACTAGGTTTACAAGTTTTTAGTTCTCCTGCCATCAATATGCTTGTGGCAGATGGCAGCCAGCTTAACAATATCCTAACCAAATATTTTTAAACAGTTATAGTTGACAGCATTGATTTGTTCTTTCAGCACTGCTACCTGGACACCCAAGAGGTACAATTCCATGTTTGAATGGTGGAGAAACCATTTGTTCCCAGCATCCGTGGTTCCTAGTATTGAGTAAAACTGACATTCCCAACATGTTGCAAGGAGAGTTTTGAAATGGTATTTCAGAACGCTATGCAGCATCTTTAACAAATGGTGCTGGTCTAACTGGATATCTACATGCAGAAAAAAATGTAAATAGATCCATATTTATAACCCTGCACAAAAGTCAAGTCCAAGTGATTCAAAGACCTCAACATACCAGATATATTAAATCTGCTAGAGAAGAAAGTGAGTAAGAGTCTTGAAGTCATTAGCACAATAGAGCACTTCCTGAATAGAACACCAATAGCTTAGGTTCTAAGATCTACAATTAATAAATGGAACCTCTTGAAACTGAAAAGATTCTGTAAAGCAAAAGACACTATCGATAGAATGAAATGGCAGTCTACAGCTGGAGAAAAGATCTTCATCAATCCTACATCCAGCAAAGGGCTAATATCCAGAATATATAAAGAACTCAAGAAATTAAGCACTAGCAAGCTAATAATGCAATTTTAAGAATGGGATACTAAGCTAAGCAAAGAATTCTCAACAGAGGAATTTTGAATGGTGGAGAAGCACTTAAAGAAATGTTAAACATCCTTACTCATCAGGGAAATTAAAATTAAAAAGACTCTGAGATTGTATCTTATACCTGTCAGAATGGCCAAGATCAAAAACAAAAGTGACAAAACATGCTGGCAAATATGTCGAAAAAGAGGAACATTCCTTCATTGCTGGTGGGAGTGCAAACTTCCATAACCACTTTGGAAATCAATCCGGTGCTTTCACAGAAAACTGGGAAAAGCTATACCTCAAGACCCAGCATCCAGCATACAGCCAAAGGACGCTCCACCACACGAGGACATTTGCTCACTGTGTTCATAACAGCTTTATTTGTAATAGCCAGAATCTGGAAACAACCTAGATGTCCCTCAACTGAAGAATAGATAAAGAAATGGTGGCACATTCACACAATGGAATACTACTCAGTCATTAAAAACAAGGAAATCATGAAATTTGCAAGCAAATGGATGGAATTAGAAAAGATCACCCTGAGTGAGGTAACACAGACCCAGAAAGACAAACATGGTGTATACTCACTTGTAAGTGGATTTTAGACATACAATGCAGGAAATAGTACAACCACAGACCCAAGAAGACAAGCCCGATAGGAACCTTAGGCTTCATGCTGGTACACTAGTTAGAGAAGTAGGGATATCTCTGACATAGACTGTGTTACCTGCTTTTTGATCATTTCCCCCTGATGGGACTTTCTTACAAGGCCACAGGGGAGGAAGACGAACTCAGTCCTCATGTGAATTATATGAGCTGAGGTGTCTGGGTAGGGGGGCTCCCATGTTCTGAAGAACAGGGTAGAGGGGATGCGGGAGGGAAGGTGGAACTGGGGGGAGAGGAGAGAGGGACCTATGACTGAGATGTAAATTGAATTAATCAAGTAAAAGAATAAAAATAAACATACAAAAAAGAACCTCAAAATCACATATTCTTCTCCTTTCTCTAATTCCCAACTCATCATCAAGTCCAAGAGTTTTATTTCAGAAACACATCATAGATCTATCAGTCCATGATAGCATTCTTTTTGACCCACTACCTCAGGTCCCATCCCCTCTCCTATGTATGACAGGACTGACAGTGATGAGACACACACACACATGCATGTCTGTGTGTGTGCCTGCATGTATATACAGCCCTACGTGGGCCTCCCTAGCCTCTGTCTGTGAGGGAGGCCCTCAGCGAGGGCCTAGTTTTATCTGGCCAGTTTCTCCCACAATAGAGCACATTTCTCAGCCAGGTCTGATAGATTGTATGAAAGATAATTAGAAAGGGGTAGCAAAGAGCAGACAAAACTAAAAACCAGGGAAATTATAATAGGGAATAAAAGGGGGGATTTCTCAGGATAGGACTAGAAGGAGGCTTTGTTTGCTTTAAAGAAAGAAGAAGCGATTGTAGAAAAAAGGGGGGCAGATGAGAAAACAGTTGCTAGTGGTTTTTCTGCTGATGCTCAAGTGTTCTCTACAGTTCTAAGTCAAGGGGACTTCCCTTATGATTTCCATTTTTAGCCATTTTGACTCCATGTCTCTGAATTGATTTCTACGAGTCTGGCATTCAAAGAAGTTCTACAAGATTATTGTGACAACTAATCTTCCTGTTGCCAGGGAGCTATTCCTATATCAACACGTGTCAAAAATATTACTGACCTATACCTGACACCTAAAAGGTTGTGATATACAAAGCGCTGGGTTTGAACTAGGTTCCTTAGATATCAAGGATTCTACCAAGGTGATTGGAAGCTGATATGGTTAGCAGAACGAGATGAATGAGAATCAGCAAGGGTCTTATTCCTTCATCCCCAACTGAAAGGGAGTTAAAATCTACTTTTATGTGTTTTATACATAATATTTCACTTAAGATTTAATGTAAAATCTTAAAAATTAAGGTATTAAAACACTAACAATGGTTAAAAGTATGAAATATTATGTTAGATTACTCTGTATTAATAATTCCGGTTTCAACACTTATTAGTTATGGAACTTTGGGAATGCAACCAATTCTCTTCATTGACAATGGTGGTGATTCCTTAACAGGTTAGGGCTGTATGACTTAAGCAATGTATAGAAAGTTTTAGGTGTAAAGACTGGAGATCAGGAAACATCTGGTACATCCTATACACAATAGGCAGCATAGGTTCCTTACCTGTGAAGGAGGGCTAATAACAGTGCTTACTTAGCTCAAAGAGCCTTGTGAGCCTGAGTTAAGTCACTCTTCTCCTCATTGTGACCAAGTATGCCTAAAGAAGCAACTTAAGGGATGAAACATTTATTTTAACTCACAGTTTCAGAGAATACATTAGTAGATAAGGCTTATGGCTGTACCAAGAGAAGTGTGAAGCTTGTTTGCATTCAAGGGCCCTGGAGCAGAAGGTGGTAGATGCTGGTCTATAGCCCACTTTCTCCTTTCCTATCCTACAAGCCCTTAGTCTATCAGAAGGAAC